GTTACATTTTGGTAAACATCCCTATGATGTTATTATTAATATCTGAGAATGGTTCTAACAATATTAGGAGTTTTTGGAGAAATTCGTGAAGTTTTGCTCCATTTAAAGAACGCCATCATAAGTGTGGGAACAATTTTTTGTACAGTTTCCAAATGTTTTCAATGTTTAAATAATGAGGACAATCTAGTCTAGATGAAGCAGTATGTATGCATTTTCAACAACATGATGTACTATTCCTAGGACGTTATGCGAATAAGTTCAAATAATGTTTTCACTCTCACTGATATATCAGCCAGGCCGGATAATGAGCTGATATTTGCCAATTTTTAAGATTTATGACCGGCATCAGCAATTAACCTTGTTCACTTGGGCAATAAAAGTTTGAGTTTGCCCTTTTTATGAATTAAGAGTACATATTGTGCTTGTTTATGTCTCATTTACTATAATTAAACTGTAATACAATCTTAAAAATAAAGCTTTCAAAAGGGTGATGCCATAGAAGAACCTTTCAGTGAACCGTTCATTTTAAAAAAGAGCCTTTTAATAATCTAAAGAAGCTTTTGTTCAGAGGAAAGTTCCATGGAAGTTAAAGATTATTTATGGAACCATCAATGCCAATAAAGAACCATTTTTAAGAGTGTATATAATATTACCAGCATTTTAATCATCAGTCGTCCTCTGCTCTCTCTAAATTTCAGCCATTGATAATCCGGGAACACTTTACAATAAGGTTCATTAGTTAACATTACTTAATGTATATTAACTAACAATGAGTAATACATTTGTTACAGTATTTATTAATCTTTGTTAATATTAGTGAATAAAAATCCAGCTGTTCATTGTTTGTTCATGTTTGTTCACAGAGCATTAACTAATGTAACAAATACTACCTTTGATTTTAATAACGTATTAGTAAATGTTGAAATTAATATTAATTAAGATTAATAAATGCTGTAGAAGTATTGTTCATGCTTAGTTCATGTTACCTAAGGTAACTAATGTTAATGAACTTTATTGTAAAGTGTTACCGATAATCCTATATTAGTTGACCATAAATGCCAGCTACTTACAATATAAAAAATGTTTTGTTTCAACCAAAATGAAACATTGTTAGAACATTAATGACCTAAGCTGATGGTGCGGATCTACTTGGCTTGTAGTCCTGGTTAACCTGCAGGAAATAAACACAGCAGCAGGTCCAGAAACACACACACACACACACACACACACACACACACACTGTGTGATGCGAGTATCTGAGTATCTGAGCACAGATGAGTGTGATCTCAGCGGAGACATCTGCTCCACAACACGACACACTTTCATCGAGAACATCCCCACGGAGACGCTTCATTCTGGCAATGGCCTTTTAATGCTTTGCTTATTAGATTATTCCATATTCCTGCGGTGATCACAGATTCTTCTCACTCACATTAAAGGGCCAAAGCTGATGCCACAGAAGAGCCTTTACCGGTTTCAGTGATGTAATATGAACTTGAAAGCGTCCTCCTGTGATGTCATAGAGCATTTTAAAGCCACCATGATGCCACAAGAAAACCTTGAGTTTCAAAGATGCCATAGAACTATTAATATTCATATGTCATTGAACCCTTTTTTTAGCTCTTTGATGCCATATGTCCTTAAAAAGTCATAGCAGAACCTTAAGTCACTATGACGTCATTAAACATTTTAAGTCCTAAGAAAGTCATATAGCAGAACCTTAAGTCACTATGACATCATAAAACATTTTAAGTCATAATAAAGTCATATAGCAGAGCCTTAAGTCACTATGACGTCATTAAACATTTTAAGTCCTAATAAAGTCATATAGCAGAGCCTTAAGTCACTATGACATCATAAAACATTTTAAGTCCTAATAAAGTCATATAGCAGAACCTTAAGTTACTATGACGTCATTAAACATTTTAAGTCCTAATAAAGTCATATAGCAGAACCTTAAGTTACTATGACGTCATTAAACATTTTAAGTCCTAATAAAGTCATATAGCAGAACCAGTTGTCTTTATATCTGACATTTATAAGCCCCAATCTTGTGGAACTGCATTATTTGGACCAGTACCATTACAATGATCACTTATTTGAAGGTGGATAAAAAAAGCATGTTTACACAATGTTATGAGAAAAAGTACCATATAGGCACACGCTGACATCAAGCTTTTGCGTATGATTCACAACAATGGTGACAATAAAAAAAGCTTCATGCTGCAATGCATGATGAGTAGCTTTCATAGTACAAAACATCCTTGATTCCCAAGCTTTTTTGTTTTGGTTGTCACCGTTGTTGAGAATCATAAGCAAAATCTTGATGTATGTGTGTGACTACATGATACACTTGCTCAAAACATTGTGTACACATGCTTTTATCCACCTTTAAGTAAGTGATCATTTTAATGGTACTGGTCCAAATAATGCAGTTCCACAAGATTGGAGCTTATAAATCCCAGATATAAAGACATAAGTCCAAACACAACATTTAATGCTCACTTTGTGTTGATTTTGTCATCATCAACAAGGAGCTGATGACAGCCGATTTTACTTTTTCTTGGCTTTCTCTGCCACAATGGTATTATACAAACACGCAGTTACAACAGCCAAAGAAAAGTTAAAATAAGAAGAACTGGGACCAAGAGCCCAACTAAAGCAAACACTGATCACCACAATGGTAACTTAAAATGAAACATATCAACATCTAAACCTCATCTAAACAATGTAAGGAAATTACATTGATATAAACATGAGTTTTAATTTAATGCATCCTGAGTGTTTATTTGGTCCAGAAACAGTATAAATTGTCTAAATGAGACCATAAATGATGTTGAAAATATGTCCACGATGGCCACATTTGAACTAGTTTTTAACCTTGTACGAAGAGGGTCCATGAACGTCTAGGCTATATCGGACATGCAGAACACGTCAAAAAAAGACGTCATAAAAACTTTCATTCTGGCTCCTCAGTGGACGTCTTTTCAACGTCCGATTTTTGTGACAAAGACGTTGAAAAGACGTCTTTTGGACATCATGTTGTTTAGTGGGTCACTATGACGTCATAACACATTTTAAGTCCTAATAAAGTCATATAGCAGAACCTTAAGTCACTTTGACGTCATAACACATTTTAAGTCCTAATAAAGTCATATAGCAGAACCTTAAGTCACTTTGACGTCATAAAACATTTTAAGTCCTAATAAAGTCACAGTAGAACGTTTTCAAGTTCATACACTCTAAAATTAGCTGGGTTATTTGTTTTACCCAGACTGCTGGGTTCTGCCTGTTGGGTCATTTTCACATTGTCGTGTAACCCACTGCTGGGTTATGTTTCTCTGACACTAGAAATGATGCAACTCCTCACAATCTACCCAGCCTGCTGGGTTATAGTAACCCACTGCTGGCTTGCCAAACTGGATTAAACCGGATCGGTTTATCGACGGTCATTTTGTCTCCTGTCCTGAGAGAAAACTTCCTGAGGTGATCTTCCTGAATAACTTAAAGTTTGTATTCACTTGTATATCAAATAATTACTGTACAAAAAAAAAAAAAGCTAATATTATTTCACATCTACTAGTTTCGCTTGCGTTGCAGACCGAGTGAGAGATTCGCCGCAGCCATATTGAAGTATCATCTCCTTGTTAAGCGAAGTATGATGTCATTGAACCTTTTTTAGTTCTGCAATGTTATAGAACATTTTTAAGTATATGTCAACGTTCTTAGCATAAAAGTGTTTGAACCTTCTTTTAACGATTTGAAAACAGTTGTGAAGTTCTCGTAATATTTATCATCTTTATAATTGCGGGAACCATTTTTTCCGCACAAAAGTCGTTTTCAATGTTTAAATAATGTGGACGGTTGATAGATGAAGCCATATTTATGCATATTCAACAACATAATGTACGATTGGATCATTACAAATCTACGGAGCCCCTAAAGGGACATGGTGAAGGGAAACATATTTGTCAATGCTTTTGCGTTCTCTGAGTAAACGTTTTGTGTTTCCCTAAGAAAGTTTGCGTTCTCTCGCAAAAAAAACTTTGCCTTTTGCCGAAAAACTTTGCTTCAAAGAGCTCAAAAGGTTTTGCGAGGGAACTACGTTTTTTTCCACCACTATGCTCTGTTCAAATGAATCCTAGAATGTTTTGAAAATAAGTCAATAGAATGTTTTCGGTTCAGTTTCAGTTACACTTTCCTAGTAAAATCATTGTAGAACCTTTATAAAGTTACTGTCCTCGTTTAACCCTTTTGAGTTCCATGGCATCATAGAACATTTTAGCTAAAGAGTAGAACCTTTTCAAGTTTCTATGATGTAACTTAATTAGAACATTTCATATATGATGTCATTTAACCCCTTGCATTCCGCGATGTCTATGATAAGAACATTTCAAAGTTCTTAAAACGTTATTGTAGAACATTCTCAAGTTTCTATGAAGAATCTAATTATGTACTGAACATTTTAATTCCTAACTAAAGAGAAGAACCTTTTCAAGTTGATATGCTGTAACTGAACCTTTTGTGAACTGAACATTTCATATGTGAAGTCATTTAACCCTTTTGAATTCCGTGATGTCTATGATAACACATTTCAAAGTTCTAATAAACTCATTGTAGAACATTCTCAAGTTTCTATGAATAATCTTATTGGTGTTCTATGATTCTTTAGAATCGTGATGCTTTAAAGAAGGAAGATACGCTTCACTTTTACTGTGGGGAAAGATGCAGAACTAACACTTAATCTAATCTGACCTATAATGTAACATGAAGATTGTTAAATCTCCAGAGAATCACCCAACATGAGCAGATCCCACACACAGCATCAGAGTGAGCACCAGAAATAGCCTCAGGACTGAGTGGATGCTCCAGTAGGCCTTCACTGAGCATCAGAAGCTCTTCTGGTACAGATCCCTCACAGAACATCTGCAATCTATCAGACAAGCACACTGACACACTGACACACGTGAGGGCTAATGGAGGAGAGGAATCCCGCTTACCTGCAGCATCTCAGTGAGCATCCGCGATCCGATACACTGACATGAACCCTGGGATACCGACATGAATCCTGGGATACCGACTGACAGAGCGGGATGAGGATGGATCTGGTCGTGTTGTCGTCGATCTGTGGAGGAGAATCGCGTGGATGCTGCAGTGTTTTCGGTGTGGTGTGGGAGAGAAATGATCCATCCATCTACACACACACTCACGCATGCGGTGTGGAGGCACGAGCCGTCATCATCACGAGAGAGAGAGAGAGAGAGAGAGAGAGAGAGAGAGAGAGAGAGAGAGAGAGAGAGAGAGAGAGAGAGAGAGAGATGCTCTGCGCACTCAGCATTTAACCGCTTCACTGCCGGATCAACGAAACAATATACTTAGTTACACGTATTAAATAAATACACAGGGTTTAACTATTATAGCTACACATTAATAATACAAAATATAAACTCATGACTAAATTGTGAAAATAGAGAGGTTGTGTGTGATTAAATAATGTTTTAATTACTTTATTTAAAGATATAGCGAGCTAACTGGAATGCCAAGCCTTTTATTCATTTACAATCGCATTCTCCAGAGAATAGGCCTTAAAAACTGGCAAAAAAGTATTACAACTTCGTTTAAAAAATGTAAGTACATAATAGTTAGAAGTTGTAGCCACTTACCCTTCAGACTGCAGCTTCGACTGTTACAATTTAAACCATGTCGGCGGGAACTTCATTTCGAGGGTTAATTCACCCAAACAATTAAAATCTTGTAATTAATTACTCACCCTGATGTCGTTTCAAAACCTTAATAGTTTCGTTTATCTTCAGAACACAAATGAAGATATTTTTGATGAAATCCGAGAGCTTCTACGCAAGAAAGTGGTAGTTGCATAAGCTGTAAATGGAGGTACAGAAATCTCTCAGATTTCATCAAAAATATCTTCATTTGTGTAATGAAGATGAATGAAAGTCTTACGGGTTTTAAACGTTTTTTTTGTTGTTGTTTTTTTTGTTGCCACTAACATTTTTAAAAATTAAAGAAAAAAAAAAAAAAAACATAGTGTGACTCAATATGTGTAACCCAGGTTGGGGTTAAAACAGTTTTTTACTGTGTATTTTATTTATTTATGAAGGTTTGGTCTGCTACTGTATTATAAAGATTAACATATTTTGTTATTTTCTGCATATTTTATATATAAACTCTCTATAACAGAGACAACACAATGCATAAGCACTAATCAGAGAGGAAGGAGTTTTCATAAAATACTGAAATATGTGCAATTCAAATGTTGCTTGCAAACATGTTTATTTTGATCAGAATATATGGATACATCAGACGGTCATAAACAAAGGCCCTCATGGTGGCGTTACAGCATCCACCCGAGAGATTAATGACTGTAACACCTCCAAGCTCATTATTAACCTCCTCAAACCCTCATATGATATTACTGAAGCCTCTCACAGTCAAACAACCTTTTCAAGTGTTTCAGGAAAGTTCAGGAAAGGGGTTTCCAACTGCAGGGAAGATGTTCTTCTGGACAGTAAAAGTACACATGCTGACACATAAAATCAAGATTTGACACTTTAGACAAAGAGCTAAAGGAGTATTAATGTGCCGTCTGAGAGTCGTGGAGTAAATCACACAGAGAATCCACCATCCTCTCCATCAGCACACACACCTGCAACACACACACATATCATCAGCTTATGACTAATGATGACCGTAGGGATCATGACTGCATGTGTGAATGTGTGCTGAAACATCACAAAGGTGTGTGTGTGTGTGTGTGTGTGTCTTGCCTGTGCGTGCAGCAGCGGTCTGTATCTGTCCTGCAGTGTGTGTGTGTGTGTGCGTGTGTGTGCAGCAGCGGTCTTTATCTGTCCTGCAGTGTGTGTGTGTGTGTGCGTGTGTGTGTGTCTTGCCTGTGCGTGCAGCAGCGGTCTGTATCTGTCCTGCAGTGTGTGTGTGTGTGTGCGTGTGTGTGTGTCTTGTCTGTGCGTGCAGCAGCGGTCTGTATCTGTCCTGCAGTGTGTGTGTGTGTGTGTGTGTGTCTTGTCTGTGCGTGCAGCAGCGGTCTGTATCTGTCCTGCAGTGTGTGTGTGTGTGTGCGTGTGTGTGTGTCTTGTCTGTGCGTGCAGCAGCGGTCTGTATCTGTCCTGCAGTGTGTGTGTGTGTGTGTGTGTGTCTTGTCTGTGCGTGCAGCAGCGGTCTGTATCTGTCCTGCAGTGTGTGTGTGTGTGTGTGCGTGTGTGTGTGTCTTGTCTGTGCGTGCAGCAGCGGTCTGTATCTGTCCTGCAGTGTGTGTGTGTGTGTGCGTGTGTGTGTGTCTTGTCTGTGCGTGCAGCAGCGGTCTGTATCTCTCCTGCAGTGTGTGTGTGTGTGTGTGCGTGTGTGTGTGTCTTGTCTGTGCGTGCAGCAGCGGTCTGTATCTGTCCTGCAGTGTGTGTGTGTGTGTGCGTGTGTGTGTGTCTTGTCTGTGCGTGCAGCAGCGGTCTGTATCTGTCCTGCAGTGTG